TTATCCAGGAATTTAATTTTGAAATTCGAGAATAAAAATCACTCTAGCTCATTAGGGGTTAAAGTTAGAAAAATAAATATTAGATATTTCAATATTATATTGAAAGGTTAGTTAAAGTTTAAAATTTCAATAAATTCTGGCCATAGTCGGTCATCTTCCGACATTGTGTTTCAATTGTTTTATATTATAGATACTTCTTAGAAATAGCTTTTGAAATACATTCATTGATGTGTTCTTGACAATTTTAGATAAATCACAACTCGATCCAAGAAACCCATGCATCAAACCATTTTAGAGCAATATTAATGATATATTTACTTTTGTATTAATAAATCGTTGAGATTGCTATCAATATTATAGATACTCTGATACAAAGTGTTTACTTAAAGAATTTTAACTATTAGGATATAGGGGTTAGGGTTAACTGGTACGCAATAAACCTTTCTCTTACCGGTAAAATAATAAGTTGAAATAAAATGTATTGCTCAAATTATCAGGATCAAAGTGCGAAATGTAATTGTTTTTTATATGAATAAAATTAAAATTTTATATCAAATCTTAACAAAAATCGTTTAGCCCTGGAGTTAAAGGTCTGTGTCATATGATAAGAATTGTCTAACTTTTAAACTATTATTTTATTGTTATGTTCTAAACAAGTGTCAATAAATGTTTAAGTAATGTTTATAACTAAATTAATGGTTTTATAATAAGAGTAACGGCTACTAGCAATTACTTAATAACTAATTAAAACAAAGTTTTCATTATTAGTTACAAGTTAGACAAACTGTGGAAAACTTTCACGCGATGTGAATCACTGTAATTCATAGTAATTAATAATTACTAATTATTCACTTAATTATAGTCTTAATTATGTTCACTGAAACGAAGCGTGATTTTCATTATAATCATCGCAATTATGTCTAATTATACCTAAATTGCATTTTTATTGTATTTTAAGCAATAAATTGCATTCAAGAATCAGTTCATTTTAATACTCTCTATATTTAATTATTAGGTGAAATTCTTATCTAATTATTTGCTTTAAACAACAAAATTAAATGGAAATTTTTTTCTTGACTTACGGGTTAAGACAATATCCTGTTCCTCGCTCAGTGACCGCGATGTTTGCCGTTTTGTCGTCAAATAGTTATTGCTCCTACTCTTAAAGGTTATATTTGCACCAAAATCTTCGGGATCGGGACTACTCTTACTATTCTTATGAATACTGTCCGAAATGACATGACATCCGTTGAATCCACAGACGATGTCTCACTTTTGTGCACTTCTTTGGCTTTCTTGGTCTTCAAATAAAAGTATCGCCCGATTATCACGACTCCGATATAACACACATATACGGCAACCAACGCTAAGATTAGGCAAACAAACACAATAAACAATAAAATTTAATTATCTAATACAAATTTTTATGAAAGCAATAATTAATTGATGGCATTTTCACGACTCCGATATAACACACATATACGGCCACCAACGCTAAGATTAGGCAAACAAACACAATAAACAATCAAATTTAATTATTTAATAAAAATTGTTATGAAAGCAATAATTAATTGATGGCATTCACTGTTATTTTGTGATATAATTATGATATAATAAATGACAATCAGATGAGAAGTGTGTAAAAGTCATACACCGATTGCATTGTTGAGATAAATCCTAGTCCTCCATATGATAAACCAGACCATAAAAGTGGCACCCACATAAAATGCAATATCACGCATTAATGGCCGTTGCATTACTTGAAACTGACGGTCAGTAGTACACTACCGACCACTACAGTGGTCACAAATATTCCGGCCCCTAAAATAGTAGTTTATCATTTGATAAGTTTATAACTTTTAAATTATAAAATTTTATACCGAAAAGACCGGAGAATATAAGCTGCGGTTTATCTTGACCACTGATGGCCGAGAATATATCCGGGGCTCCATTTCCAAAGGCCAACAATGTAACACTCTGTTCACAAATATATGCTTAAAATACATTCAAATTATTTTGCATTTAATAAGTCTTACGGCAATGTTATGGGCAATCGTAGTGTTTTGGATATCGTGAGTAAAGCCGGGCATAAACTGTTGGAAAAAAGCGACAGAATTGATGCCTAATAATAATTTGACATATGATTGAGACACAACTCGTCGGCCACTATACCCATCGCTAGGAAGAGGAATAATAAGACGGCAAAGAGTACGAAGAGAGAGGCGGCCCGGTATTCATCGCCGACATCACATAGTCATACACCGATTGCATTGTTGAGATAAATCCTAGTCCTCCATATGATAAACCAGACCATAAAAGTGGCACCCACATAAAATGCAATATCACGCATTAATGGCCGTTGCATTACTTGAAACTGACCGGTCAGTAGTACACTACCGACCACTACAGTGGTCACAAATATTCCGGCCCCTAAAATAGTAGTTTATCATTTGATAAGTTTATAACTTTTAAATTATAAAATTGTATACCGAAAAGACCGGAGAATATAAGCTGCGGTTTATCTTGACCACTGATGGCCGAGAATATATCCGGGGCTCCATTTCCAAAGGCCAACAATGTAACACCCTGTTCACAAATATATGCTTAAAATACATTCAAATTATTTTGCATTTAATAAGTCTTACGGCAATGTTACTGGGCAATCGTAGTGTTTTGGATATCGTGAGTAAAGCCGGGCATAAACTGTTGGAAATAATAATTTGACATATGATTGAGACACAACTCGTCGGCCACTATACCCATCGCTAGGAAGAGGAATAATAAGACGGCAAAGAGTACGAAGAGAGAGGCGGCCCGGTATTCATCGCCGACATCACAATACACCAAATGTGTGAAATCATAAATCATACCATCATTCATACCCACAATCATCGATACTTTGTGTAAAATCACATTTGTCTGACGAGTTTAATGTGTTCACAAACAGACACTGTTCAAGATTACATCAATCATTTTAGTTAATTGACATTTTTAACATAGTATTGCATTATATTCGTGTAATGGTAAGCCAATTATCTGAATGTTGTTTTAAGTAAAATCATTGCAATAAACTGAGATAATAAAGTTATTGGTACTTAATAAGAACCAGTAATAAGAATTAGGTACTTATTAGAACTGTCAAAGTTTGTATAACTGATCTATATAAAAATTAGATATAGTGAAAACAAAATTTTAAAAACATTCTAGATGGTATTTACAATTATGAATTAAATTATTGATTATAAAATGTATTACATAATATCAGTGATAATGAACTTGAATAAAATTGTAAGTTTAACTTGATTTAAAAGCATTAAAAGTATTGCAAATATTTGCGAAATGAAAAGCAATTATTATATGACAATTAGTGACAAAAAAGTAGCAATAACTTACTTTAAGTTGGTCTGGCTCATCCATAATGAGCTCAATTATTGAGGAAATGGTGGCAATTGGCGCTCCTTTTATGTCTTCTTTCGGCAATTCAATGATATCTTGAGTAATAAATATAAAACAATTAATCAAAACTAACACAATCTGTTGTTTTTATTGTCAAATGAATGCCACTTCGTTTTACATTATACATCATACATTATATGACTTTACAATTGATTAAATCATAAAATATTAAAAACTTATATTAAAAGAAATGGTCATATGACATATGACTTGTTAATTTGTCTGAATTTTGTTTTTATACAAAGTTAATCTGAAAACTTAATTAATAGTTTCCATTCCTATATAAATGCCATTTGACGTGAAAAGCGACCACTTTTAACATTTAATGAGAATTTAATGAAACGATTGATTGACTGACAAAAGGGTTTTATATGTATGAAGAGGAACACCACATCTAAGATAACCGACACATTCATAGACACAATGCTTTCCAATAGAAAATAACTACTTTTATAATTAGATAAAACTCATGAAACACTTGAAGATTAGCGATAGGACCTCACAAACAATACCACTGTTTATGTGATTTTAAAATGCTCCTCAGACTCTCGGGAATATTACGGGATTTTTGAGGGAATATTCTGTAGAATAGAGAAAAGTATTCAAAGTCTACATAAATTATACATAACTAATCACCTAGATCGTTTATTTATATAGATTGTATCAAGCACACATATACCCTAATGATTTCCTTTACATAGTGTTCACTGACACTCCACAGCCCTAAATCCGGTCCCTCGAGAGGACAGACCTCAGAGCTTAATAGAAACATATCTATCGGTATAGTTGTGCTGTATTTCCGTCGGAAATCCGTCCGGATATCCACCGCAATAGTGATATGCGATGTCCGACACGTATTTCGCTGCCTCCCTGTCCACTAGTATAGGCGGTACGAGCTTCTGGACAAACGCTGAGGTTGTCGTCGAATACCATTAGATTAAGTTTATCTTTCCCATACCCGGCCTTCGCAAGGGTTGGCCCTAAATTGAGTTTCACAAAATTCTGTTCAATAGGCCGGTTAGGTTCAGACAGTTGCAGCCCTTGGATGGAGTCCCTCGTGTGGACTCATTCTCGTCGGTCACTCCCCATAGGTTTATGTCATGCGATTTGTATGCGTCTAGAAATCTGCGGTAAACTCAAGGGATAAGTGGTTTCATGTGTTTAATGCATAAATTACTTCACAAAATGGTTGGCCCACGACTGGTAGTACTCGCCGCCGACAGTACCCCTCAATTCCCCGCCATTATTGAACTTGTGGTTAGTCTTCATACCGGTGCTTTAGGCCCGGGCCTTGGGGTTGGAATACGTGGCGTATTTATTGTTGATCTCACGGGACAGACAACAGGCAGATATGACGATCAGGATCTCCACCACAGCCACACCGATGGCTATATAGCCTACAAAAACATAGCGTACAATAAATATGAAATGACATCTCATTCATACAAATCACACAATTTTCACTCATTTTACACGTATTTATGACTAGAAATGTATGATTATTACAGTATTATGATATGAGTCTCACCTAAACTTCCGAGATATAGCTTCATGTAGTCGATTAGGGCTTTAGTGCAGCCCTTATCCTGATATTAATTGCGGATAAAAAGTTTTGTAAACTAATTATAACTGTCAATAAAATGTAAATGAAACAAATTATACCCAGGTATTGCTTTCAATGCACCTGCCATCCACTTTACTAGCATTATCCTTGCAACATGACCCCGGGAATAGTCCTAAAACACACAACATATACATTGATGCCAAATATGAACTAGCTAACTAATATGACTGACCCTCTGGTTTGCCATAAACCCCGTTCCAGTCCTATCTATCATTGCCTCCACAGCACTGCAACTGCTTCTGGAACTCATTGATGGCACGATTGGCCGCCTCATCCTCGGCTAACTCCCATTTGTAGGCATTCAGTGCTGACTTAATGCCTTTGTTCACATATTACTCAAACTATTTCATTGAGAATGTCATCAGAGTCATTTCCGTACAAGTATATTATCAAGTAACAAACATCGTGGTTGTATTTGGTGGCCATATAAGCGCCGACACCCTGTGCTGCCAGACATAGGAATACGAGTCCGCCGTACTGTCCATTGGTGTGTGAATTAATGGTATGAATGATATATTGTAGTGATATATGAATATCAAGAATATTGTGGAATACATACGGTGTTAAGCATACAATAGCTCTCACGGATAGCACCACAACAGCCTAAAAAGCTGACCACTAGTATGAGCCCTCCCGCCACTAACAGCACTATCGCTGAATACCTATTGATTACAATTTGTACCAAGTTTATAATTAATGTTTTTTAGATTAACACTTTTATGAAAAACAAAAAATTGTTTTTGTTTGTAAATAGTTAGCTAATATACAGTGTATTTAATTAGATAAGCTATGGTTAATATCATTAAAGCTTATTAAATGTGTTTTTTGGAAAAAAATTTTTTGTTTTAAATTACGGTATTTATTGTGTATAAAAAAATGGGTACAAACGCCGGGGTCTCTTTCACCACATCAGTCACATCGGGTGTGTATTTTAGGATAACCCGAACGCCCAGGTATATGATCGCCGCCCCACATAACTATCGTATATTATTGTCATTAAAATTAATTATTAAATAATTTATATGTGTTTTGTTTTAATGTAATGTATGCCGTACTGTACAGTACTGTACGCTACTGTATACTAGTATTGTATAAATCACTTTCACATATCAGTTGCTAAACAACAATATCTGTTGCATTGCTATAACTGTTAACACAATTGATTTTTCTTATATAAAATATTATAAACACAAACATTTTTATCAAATATTTCTGAGATATCTGTCCATTGAGTTAATATTTATTTCCTAATAACTTCTATACAGTTATGTCTCTTATTATAAATCGCAGTATTTTTGAAACAATTGTAATAACCTGTCATTTTTGACAACTAATATATTCACAGAATCTGAGCTTAAAACGTTTTATTAAAAGTATTTATTTTATATGAAATTTAAGAATATTTTATTTATATAAAAAACTTTTTGCCAATACTTACCACCCAGATGAAGTTGAACACAAATAATACAATTTTAATCACAGATCCACCGCAACTAACAGCCATTTCTGAGTTTAATATATATTTGTTATACAAAATACTATTATTATATGAGTTTTTGGATGAGTTAACAGAAAAAAATTGTTATATTTTTGTCGCTTTTTTGTCTATTGTTATGAGGAATACATGTTTTTATACAGCGATTGTCTACTCGGTATGTATTACTTAGCTATACCTGTCGTATATATGTTGACTGAAATACAGGTAATAACAGGAGTGTTACACAACACACATACAGATCTAGTCTATGATATGAAATACCTATTATTGGCGAAAGTTTTTATCATCACTTGTTGTTAAGGCGATGACGATATGAAAGCCATTGGATTTGATTTACAATGATTTGACAATTTATTGCACTATGTTTTGGCTATTTATTCGCTAAAATACATTATATTTAATATTCACATCAATAGTGAGTCGAGAAAATTATTGTATATATACTTGTTTTTGTCGCTATCATTGCCAATAACTTAGGAATTAATTAATTTATAATATATTATATTGTTTTCAGATTTCATATGCAATTATCAATCATACACTTTGTGTGTAAGAAGTTTTTTATGTGTTTATTAATGTATTGTTTGGCACTTTTGTATTGATTATCATTTGTTGAAGGGTTTGCAAACATTATAGCAATTAATCAGTTGATTATCATAAGTACTGTATAAGTGAGGGTCAGATACCGGAATATACAGTATGAGCACCGGGATTATATTTAGTGTTAAAAACTTATTAATAATCATTTTAAAGTTATTACAGTTGTATTTGATTTTAGATTAGTTTATAAAAAAATAGTTTTTCATTTAAAACCGCAAACAAATGAATACTAAATATAACTATTTTATGCGACAATAGGGTTATCCGAGTCCTTCATAATAAACATTATTATTATTCAAAATATTAATTGCCTTTCAATTCCCAACTATAAGGCCATTGAAAATCAATGTTTAGTTATTGAATAAAAGTTAATAATTTTTATAATACAGGCTAAATAAATACAAAACTATTTCCAACTATTGTTTCCAAATATCTGTTTATATAAACAGATAAAATTTATTTATCTTTATATTTAATTAATATACACTTAATTGTTAATCAAAGTGAATATTTTGCACGTTTGTACTCATAATAAATAAATTATTATATTATAAAGTTTCCATGGTAATGTTATTAATATTCATAATAATTATTCTTTAAGAGTGTAAACATTTATAAAAGTAATTAAAAATAATTATAAAGACATTAATTATAGGAATAAAACACAAGATTTTGATAAACACATTAATTTCCACTTATAATACATGTATAGTATTATTAAATTGTTTATGCAATTGAATAGGTGTTTAAAAAACTTGTCAGTCTAATGAAAACTTTAGATTGTAGTGAGTGTACGGTTGGGTCGCCTACAAGACGAGTCTTTACCGGCGTTCACAATATACTACCCGTCCTACATGTCCATCGAGAGGGTCACCTACTTTCAGCAAGAATTTCTACAAACACACTGATTATAAGACTTTTATTAATAGCAATACTGTCGAAGCTCTGAGTTGTCAATCTCTCTGTTGTGTATCCCTCTATGGTGTGAACTAATACTGATTTTTTGGCAGATTCCCTATACCTGTAATGTTAAAAACTTTCCCTGTTGTCAACTTCTATGCTGTGTATATCTCTATGCTGTGGACACATTTAACAATATTTAGTGTTATTTTCCGCTCTGAGTTGTGTAAAATGTCACAAAATAATAGTAAAATTGGATATTACCTTCAATTTTTAAAGAGCATAAGCGATAATGTATAAATTATTACCTACTATTATTATAAAGTGAATCTAACATTGAAATCAAAATTATTTCACAAAACAAAGAGATTAGTCAATTATTGTATAATGCATCCTAAGATGGCTATCTGTTTTTGATGAATGAATATTATATTACAAATTATGAATGTTACTAAATGGTAGTACTACAGGGATGACAAAAAATGGCAGTGCTACTTTGATTTTAATTTATTTTAATACCGTCTTGTGTATTTCACCCATTTATTCACTAAATTATAGCCGAATAGTTAGGGTTTTGTTTGGTATATGATTTGTCCATGTCAGTATTAACCAAAATTTTATACAAAAGGTATAATTTTAAATATGCATTATTTTTCGTACTTTTATGAAATTCATACTTATATGTTCACAAGTTGAGATTTATTATAAACTGTAATTCAATGTTTTACTAAAAATATTTTCGAAACTGTTATTTTATAAAAATAATTTTATTCACTATAAATGAATATTAATTCAAAATCAAATACTTTTATTGAAAATATTGAATTACAGTTTGTAATAAATCTCAACTTCGGAACATATAACTATGAATTTCATAAAAAGTACGAAAAATATTGCATGTTTAAAATTATACCTTTTGTATAAAAATTTTGGTTAATACTTACATGGACAAATCATATACCAAACAAAACCCTAACTATTCGGCTATAATTTAGTGAATAAATGGGTGAAATAAACAAGACGGTATTAAAATAAATTAAAATCAAAGTAGCACTGCCATTTTTTGTCATCCCTGTAGAATTAGTGAGAAAAATGACATTTTTGTTAATTTTTATTAGTTTAGCCAATACTTACCTGATAGGTCAATCAATATGCAACTATATTTTGATGTTACATTAATGAATTTTATTAAATTATTCATTATTTAATACATCATTTATCTAATGTTTAAAAATTATTACCGGTAACAAAATTATTGGAAATTGTATTCATATTAATATTAATATGGTTTAAACAGTTAAATTTTAAAAAATTAACACATAGTTATAAATATACTTGATTAAATATTTTAAAAATTAATATAACTTAATAATTTGAAAACTGTGTATTAGGCAATAAACAGTTTGCCATAAGTTAGTCACAATTACCACTTCATCTCCCGTTCCCAAAGGGTCTCCAACTTCATACCCGCCCACACCTCCCGAACCCTCTGGTCAATCAAATCGCTCTGATCTCTAGTCATAATCGACTTCCAGTCCCCTATAATACCCTTCCGGAAATGGAGGTCCTCTTCACCAAACGCATCTCTCATTGCCTTAAATGTTGACGCCTTTAGAATAGCCTCAAACAGGATAGGAGTTCCTTGACTACCGGTGCTCTCAACGGTAGGGTCGCCAACATATCTCTCTGACAGTCTTTCCACGTATTTTGGACCCAAAAACTTGCCGATTGTCTCAACGGTTTCCCGCGGGTTCTCAAGCATACGCTCGTATATAAGTAGCGTACAGTTGGGCACATCCCGGTGCTGCCAATACTGGCGCACGTTTTCAAAGTAGTCACCATAAGGGATACCATCCCCCGATATCCATAGACTGAAAAACTCCTGAAACTCCATTTCCACTCCCAGTTTACGGGTCAGGTAGTGATAAAACGAGACGACAACGTCCTTTGGGTTTCGGATCACTATTAGATACCTGGCCTTTGGCGAGTACTTTATCAACAGGGACTTCATGTGGGTCTCGATGAACCTACCAGTGCTATCACTTTCTGGTTCCCATTGCAAGCCTTTCCCCTCGAATACCCGTTCCCCGTATACTTCCAAAAAGTAACCATTGTAGTGTTTAGGTCCTTGGTATATGATTTGTCCCTTGCTCAATATACATAGTATGATATAGCGAACCAAATAAGTGCCCGATTGGGGAACGGTAAGCAAAATACGATCGCCTGCTCCGGGAGTGTAGTCGAGGGCGTACTCCCAGCTTTTAGCTCCGTATTTGTTACCAATAGATAACTGTCCCCTCACTTTCATAAATTTAAATTTACTTTCCATACTGAGTTTATTTCCAATATAACTATATTGTTGATTTAAAACTGTAATCGTGGTCACTACTTGTGAATACTTGCTATTCAACCTAGTTTATTTTGTAAACTTTAAAGTAATAATGTTAATTAGTTTTATAAAGTATATTAATATTTTATATTGTTAAGTGCTATGATATTTGCATGGTAACTCTATGAAAAATAAAAGATTGATATTATTAAAAAGTTTTTAAATTTTGTTTAGTCATACTTACTTGCACAGTTATGGGTACAGGTTTAAAAATATTTTTACAATTTCATAATATATAACTATGCTAACTTATTTATCTAATAAAATATTTTTCAATACTAATTTATTTTAATAAAATTTAATTATTATTAATAATTTAGATATAAACTTGCATTTCAAAATTTTTTAAAACAAATACTTTATTTTTATATTAAATTTTTATTTAAATGCACATTGAAATTAGCCATTTCATGCAATTTTATTTTAATATTTATGACTTTTTAGCTTGCTCATTTCTAAATATGTTTGCAGCTGCCTCGATTAGGGTCATGTGTAGGGACAGTCGCTTAGGAATATCCCCCAATTGAGCGCCGGTAGCCGACATAAAGTCGCAAGTTTTATTCGCATTCAATGTTATCTTGCTGAGAAAATTGACCTCGCTATTTAGTATGGACTCGAAGTACATGTTTATATTGCCTCTCAATTCAACGGGTAGTGCCATTTCGGAGGCCTTTACGTACTGATTCAGGTAGCTAGGTAAAAATAATTAACAATAAAGTTAGCCACCATACATAAATTTAAACTATGTACTTTATGAAATTTACCATAAAATAGTTGAAATGTCCACGGTAGAGTTAATTTTATTATGCGACATTAATGTGAGCGTGGTGATCAACTGATCCCGGAGCGGTGCTAATACTTTAGCCTGGCCATTTAGCTCTCGCATATACCTCAAGTAGTTTAGTTTGGCTGTAGTGGTGGCGCACACGTCGCCCACCGTTCTCACGATCTCCAGAAAGTACAGCCGGTATATAGTCTGCAGCTCCGGTATGTCGTGGTAGGCCTCCATGATATAGTTCAATAGGTGTATGGGCTGGTGCTTTGAGGGGCTGGTATTTGTTAACGTTATTGATAATAGTTATTATTAATTAGTAATTTTAATTAACTTTTGACATATGGTTATTTTTATTAAGCAATAGATTAGTTTGAGATGTACCTGCACATTTCCTTTTCCAGGCCCACGATCGAGTCGGGAAAGGGACGGGTGAGGTCCCCGAGGCGCTCATACCCGGCCATCATGTAGTCAATCTCATCTAGACTATACCGGTCATCGAATAGGCACTCCGTTACACCAATTAGATACAGGGCTAATTTAGGACAATATATAAAAGTTATATAAATAAAATTGAATGAAATTCAGTAATTTAACATGCTAAATATAATTTTACTTACAATACAAAT